TATAGGTTTAGCTCTTACATTAGGTCTACGATCTACTCTGAGTTAATTAATGTATATAAGTTTTACATTTATCTTTTTTTTTTTGCACTTAGATATCCAATTGTCCTAGCATCATATGTTGAAAAGACTACCTTTACCCCAATTTACTGTGTTGGTATCTTTGTTGAAAATTAACTGACCAGAAATATAAGGGTTCAATTCTGCTTCATTGATTCATATTTCTAGCTTTATTATCGTACCACACTGTGATGTTTATCGTAGCTTTGCAGGAAGTGTTGAAATTAGGAAGAATGAGTCCTCCAACCTTGTTCTTCAAAATTGTTAGGGCTATTTGGTGTCCTTTGCATATTCATATACATTTTAAGAGCATGTTGTCGATTTTTGCAAAAAAAAAAAAAAAAAAATACTGCTGAGATTTTGATAGGGATTGAATTGAATCTAAAGACCAATTTAGGGAGAACTGTCATTGCTATGAGTAAAATCTAGTCGATGGCACCTAACAACAATAGTCATCTTAATAATAAAGAATCTTCTAATCCATGAAAAAAGAATATCAGATATGCTTGTTTTAAAACATGTATGATCCAAAAAACTATTGTGAAATAATTCCATTATATCAATGATTCACAGATAAACAATCTTTTTTGACTGAAAGGTACATTAGAATAAAGATACTGCCAAAGGGGCAAGGAGACCACATCTTCTGACCTCCTCTAACCCCACAAGAGGAGGACAAAATCACTATCAGTAGCCCAAGGCCTATTCCTATGAGGCCAGACATATGACCTCCCTCCAGCCCTTTCACCAACCCTGACACCAACTGTCCCTCTCATGGCACTCACTACCTCTCTGCTATGTGCGACAATTCATTGCAGTGGCTGTACAGAACTCACAGACACCACTCACAGATTATGGAGTTTATTAGGGAAGCAACAGCCTACAACTCAAATTCAGGAACGTGGTCAGGATTCAGTTCCTCGGTGACAGTCTCCCTTCTGCCGTGCCCTTAGCCACATCTCTGTGGGCCTTGGCCTGTCAGCCTGGCCTCTGCAGGCCAGAAAAAGTCTGCCGCTCTGTCCTATGCTACTTGGTTCCACTGCTGCCGTCTCTCAGCCAAGTGTCTCTCAACCACGGGTTGGACTCTCAGCCATGGATCTCTCTCAGCCAGCATGAGAGATATTCCTCCTCTCTGCCTCTAGGAGGGCTCACTTTAAGCCTAGCAGAGTGACAAAACCAACCAATCCTAATACCAGAATTCCACACACAAGAGAGGGAGAGATTTTTCCAGAAAATTGCATCATGCTGTTCATAACAGAAATACACCTGGTAGATAACTTAATAGCCAGGAGCTACTTAGTTGCTCATGGCAAATTCCACCACAGAGTTTACAAAGACTAAGGCTAGAAACTCACTCAAACTCGATGGCATATAACAACAACAACAACAACAACAACAACAAGGCTAGAAAAGCCATACTATGTAATTTACTACACTGCAGAATCACAAAAGAAATATTTGTATTAAATTTTTTTTATCTTTGAAACAAACTCAAATTACAAAAAAGTTACAAGTATAGTAAAAATAACTGCCTCCTTCCTTGAATCATTTCAGGGTGAGTCACTAACCTGATAGCCCAACCACCCAAATACTTTAGGGTGCATTTCCAACAAACAAGTGTATTTTTTCCTATAAGCCAATTAAACCATCAGAATGAGAAGAATAACTGATACATCTCAATAATCTATGCCTTAGACCCTTGTGACAGTTAAGGCTGAATGTCAACTTGGCTGGACCATGATTCTGAGTAGTTTAAGTAAATGTGGCGTGGTTGTTACCATGATGAGATTTGATGTATATATTTTGAACAGCCAATCAGTTGAAAGGGAGTTTCCTTCAGAAGGTGGCCTGCTTAAAAACACACACACAAAACTATATATATACGGATATCCTGGAAAAATTCAGGAACTTTCTGTTGGATCTAGATCCTGTCATGCTGCCTGTCAATCTTGGGTTAGTCAGCAACTGCGTGAGTCATGAAAAGCCTCCAGCTTGACATCTGGCTCATGACCTGGGAATTACCAGCCTCTACAACTGTCCTGTGAGCCCACAATCTGCCATTTTACCTGCTGATTTTGGATTCGTCATCTACCAAAGTCAGCAGCCTGTTATATTACCTGTCAATCTTGGGCCCATCAGCCTCTGGAGCTCTGTGAGATGGGAAAAGCCTCCAACTTGACATTTGTTCCAGGAACTTGGGACTTGCCAGCCTCTATTACTGTGTGAGCCATTTTCCTGAGACAAATTTAGATACACACACATGCATATACACACATACACACACACACACACATTGTTTTGGTTATCTAGTGCTGCTCTGACAAGAATATACCACAAATGGGATGGCTTTAACAAACGGGAGTTTAGTCTTACAATTTGGAGGCTTTAAGTCCAAGTTCCAAGTGCCAGGCTCTAGGGGCTGTGTGAAAGCCCCTTGACCTTGGGCTTCAGCTCTGCCTCCTGCTCCTGGCCCACTAGAGCTAGAGGCATCTCTTCACTCAGGCAGCTACTGGATGCTGAGGCTAACAAACCCAAAGTTGACAAACAAAATGGCACAGTCCTGATGTTAGCAAACCACAAGGCCAGGCCATTAATTCAAGTCCACTGAAAGTCCCAAGGCCGGCAGAACATGGCAGGCTCCTGAACAATGACATGGCTACATGCAGGGTTCAAGCATGCCATGAGCTAAAGACCATTCCCAAAGCTGCTTCATATATACTAGAAGCAGACCACACACCCAAAGCAGCTACTCAGCTGCTCCAATAGAGTCCACCACGGAGTTAATTACCAGTCTTACCATGGGGAATAACTACATTCAGCTGCCCAGCCACTCAACCAGGCCCAGCCACGTTGACACACAAACGTAACCAACACCCACGCACACACGCACGGTTTACTGGTTTTGCTTCTTTAGAAAACCTAGCCAAGTTTTGCCAGTGGTCCCAATTATATCATTATAAAAAAAAAAAAAGTCCATTTCAGAGTCACACGTTACACTTAAGTTCTCAGTCTTTTAGTTTTCTTCCTCTGGAACAATTTCTCAGTCTTTCCCTAATTTCCATGATACTGACATTTGTGAAGATTACAGGCAATCATTTGTTGAAGGTCTCTCAATTTGGATTTGTCTGATGTTCTCACATGATTAGATAAGTTGTGAATTGGTATCTGTACTTCTTCCTAGGTTGGCCAAATACATTTAAAGTCTTTGGCCCTACTGATGAAATGGAATATTTTAAGCTATTTCCCAACGGGAAAAAAAAATACAATACCATTGCATTTTAAATTGAGGCAAAAATCATTACAATATTTCAATTATTCAATTATATTTGCTTTCTCAAAAAGTTTAATTATACTAATTAGAATGCCAGTTTTCCGAAAAATACAGGCATTTAATCTAATTTAATACTATTGAATTTTATGAATGTATTAGAAATAATTATTTTAAAAGTGTTTAAACATGAGAAAATGTTTACTATAGACTATTAAGAACAAAAGAAAATTATAACCAATATCATATTACAATATCCCAGTTATATATATTTATTTATAAAATTGTATAAATATTTATGGGTAAAATATAGCATTTGCTTTAAAATGTCTTATTAAAAACAAAGAGAAAAATAGTGAAGGGGTAGATAGAACAAAAATTGGCAAAATATTGATATTTGTTGAAGCTGAATGAGAGATTGTGGTGTTTATTAAATCATTCTTTACAATCTATTTCTGCTGAATCAATTCTGACTCACAGTGACCCAACAGAACAGAGTAGAACTGCTCCATAGGTTTTCTGAATCTGTAATTTTTATAGAAGCAGACTGCCACATCTTTCTCCCAGGGAGTGGATGGTGGGTGCAAAGTGTCAACCTTTCAGTTCACAGCAGAACAATTTAACAACTACTCCATCAGGGCTCCCCATTTTTATACTCTTACATATGTTTGAAAAGATCAATAAAAAACAGTATGCTGTATTAGAAAACACACTCTGAGAGGCTACATATCAAAATGTGAATAAACTAACCAACAAATCAAACTCACTGCCATCAAGTCGATTCCAACTCATAGTGACCCTCTTTGGGTTTCCAAGGCAGTAAATCTTTACAGAAGTACATTGTCTAGTCTTCCTTCCCAGGAGTGGCTGGTGAGTTTGAACCACCAACCTTCTGGTTAGCAATCAAATGCCTTAGGCACTATAGTGTATATTTATTTGGGACCACTGGGTAATATGATTATTGGTGGCATTATTTTCTCCTTTATATAATTTTGGAGTTTCTAAAATTTTTATAATAAACATACATCATATGTATAATCAGAAAATAATATGCCAATAAACATTTACTCACTTATCTATTTATTAATTCCATATACATTTGCTGAGCACTTGCTACAATCTAGGCATCAAGCTGGTGCTACCAACAGAGTACTCAGCCCTCATGGAACTTAATTTTGGACTTCCTTTAGCTGAACACCCTTCTCTTCCTAAGTCAGGAGAAACCTACAGGAGGCTAGAGCCTGCAATGCCCACTGATTAAATGAAAATTCTAGGCCAAGAATAAACGCTAGACTTTAAAGCCATTAAAAAGGAACTCTAAAGCCTCTATAAAAAAGAAATATGAGTTAGCAACAAAACAGTGCTCAAGATGTCCCTAAAGACTATTGTTTCTGTATATTTCACCAAAACGTGACGGAAATACTTTTTCTAGATGCTGTAGAAACTGTAATACCACCATAGGCATATTTAGGGGAACCACAAGGAGGCAGGGTTTGTGCCATTCAATTGCAGGTCATGCTTTCTGGAGATGACCTCATGGCTCCTCATGACCTCATATCCTTAGGGCTGGCTGGCTGGGTCCAAGACATTAGCATATTCTTTGCAAGTGGTGTAGACTGGAGAATGTATGTTTTTTCCTTTCCTTTTTAAAATATACATTAAAGAGAAATCTTACCTGCAGAGGCACCAGAGGACAAATCCAAGTCCACAGTAAGGGTCCAAACAGATAGCCACTTCTCTAGAGGGATAAAGCTCACACTGCAACTTAATAGAACGGCAAAAGGCACTGGTGGCTGCATGAGACATCTGCAAAACAACAAGGCTGCCATTAAAATGCCATAGTATCTAACATTCAATGCACTCAAAGACTTTTTTAGAACCTGGGGCAGCTGTATCCAGGTGTGGGTCATACTGTGCTAGGAGAGATTGGCTGCTGCTGATCTCATTGGTCTTCCAGGTTCCAATGAGGAAACCACACTCAAAATTTCTTGGTCCTCCAGGACCTAATAAGTCTAACAATTGAAATAACGATTATCTTGCATTTGAATAGCAGTAAAGTATGTAAAGAGATTCTAGTGCAATCTTACAACAACCTGTAAGAAAAGATATTACCATCCTTGTTCACCACTCCTAGGCGGGGAGCTTTTACATCTCCTGGGCCTAACAGAGTATCTGTCATACAAGAAATGGTTATAATACATATTGAAAGAATAACTCCTCACTTTAATGGTTAGAAGACAGATGCTCAGAGGAGTTAAAGAATTTACTTAAAGTCACATAAAATAGAGTTGGGATTAGGATGCAAACCTTCTAACATCTAGCTCTCAGACAGACTAATATTTTGAGGGTGACCAAAATCCAATCTTATTTCATATAGTCAATGCTACACACCATACAGCTTCCTTGTCCCCTCCCACAAAACCCTAGTAATGTTCTTACTCTAGTCAGCATACAAAGTGAATTATTTTATACTACTATAACATATATCTAATAAAATTAAATTTCTTGTAGACATTCCAGTCATACCTAAATGGAAATGCAAGTTAAAAAGAACAACAGAAAACTTTACCAAGTTACACAATTGGCTTTAAAACATTTCGCAAGTTACTTTGAAGTAGCATTTCATACAGCATTAAACTGTAAATGGGAAGCATCTCAGTACATTGTGACAATTAGGGAAATTCAGCCAAATACCTGGGAAAGGATTCATTAATCACCCTGTTGAAAGAAAGAGGACAAATAGGGTATGAAGGAGGGGATGAGAACTTCCCATTATGAAAACAATGGATCATCATTGGACATTCTGCCCTACAGAAGATTTCAACATGGAATTTATTGAATTCATACATGACATGTAGAATTGTTACTGGATATGAAACATAAGTAGTTCTTTTTAGGCTACTTTTAAAGCTACAATGTTTGTTGAAAGGAGAACTGAGGATGGTCTTAATCCTAACTATCAAAAGTACTTATATACAGAGCTTAGCAACTAAAGCAAATCTTTATTGAATCCTTTCCTCTGTGCAAGGCACTCTTTGCTTCTTGAAAATAGTTCTTCAGTTCAGCTGTGCAGATACAAATGTATTAATTGAGTGTGTTTTATGTTGCGTCAACTGCTAGGGATAGTAAAAGGAATAATAATACATGGCCTCTGCCCTCAAGGAGCTTACAATCTAGTAGGAAATTGAGAGACATGGCAGAGAATTACAATAACTATGGGTACTTCATGTGCACAGAATGTAAAGACAGCAGACAGGGAGGATGCTTAAATCAACCTGGCAGATTACAGAAGAATTTCTGGATCTTGAAGGATGAATAACAGACAATAGATTTCAACATATAATAAGAATGGTCACAAGTTAGGAAAGGAGTAACTAAGAAAGTTGAATGTTCAATCTCAAAACTCTTTCAACGTTGGACCCTACTAATATTTTAAACCAAAAAACCCAAATAGAATATTTTTCTACAGCCTTTTATTAAAAAAATCTCCATTTTTTATCAAGATAAACTCAGACTTTGATGAGGAGTTAGTTTTCTGGAGGCCCAAAACAAGAAACTAATGATCTACTCTAAAAGACACATTGAGAGTAGACATACCAATGTAGAGGGATGAAGGATGAGGTTAACTGTATTTATTTTTGAGATGCATTGTGTGACTTAGCTTTGGCAGATTTACCTTCCACTGCAGTTTTGCTTTGGTTTCTGTTAAAATAAATGTCCATTCCCTGGCACACATCAACTGCACACATCAAATGAGAGTGAGCAGGAAAAGTGTTCCAGAAGAATACTTGGTAGCAAGGGAAAGTCACATGGGTTTTTAAAATATCCTGTGGGGGAAATCCATAAGGTGATTAATCTGAAGTAAACTGTCGGTGCTATATGGGTCTTCTCTATGATTTTTTTGTTGATCTTGAGCAAACATACCTACAATCTATTAGGAACCTTCTGAGTTCAAATACACACTTTTAAGCAGGTCATACTACAAAATTTAAACATAAAAACATGTATCTCATGGAATTTACTCAAAATTAGACATCATACAGTGTTCATTTTGAGTAAAATAGTTTATTGGACATAGTTTTCTCTTCTCTATCTTTTATGGTAATAATTGAACTGTCAATAATATTATTGTTTTCAGCTTTTGAACTGATATTAAATCAAAATTTATTTCTGAGTAAAATGGTTACCTCTGTAATCCACAAGGGAGCTCTAGTTGCATAGTGCCTAAGCATTTGACTGCTAACCAGAAGGCTGGTGGTTCAAACCCACCAGCCACTCCTCAGAGGGAAGGTTGGGCAATCTACTTTCGTAGGGATACCACCTTGGAAATGCAAGGAGGGGTTGGTATGAGTCAGATTTGAATTGATGGCAGTGGGTTTGGTTTTTTTTTTTGGTAATCCATAAATGTAAAGAAGCAGGAGGGATTTCCATCAGGAAGAGACTATAAGCCAGAAGATTTCGGCTGTATTATCTCTTAGTATTTAAAGGATATAGTATCACAGTAGATTTTACTTCAAGTATTTATTTTAAAAGTCAAATGGTCAAAAATTTAAGATAAACATAAATTTGAGAGAAAGTCTAGTTATCTCTCTGGCTTTTCTAGGTTCTATGTTTAGATTAAGGAGTCCCTGGGTGACACAAATGTTTAAGCACTTGCCTACTAACTGAACACTTAGGTTAGCCATTTGAACCCATCCAGAAATGCCTCAGAAGAATCTCCTCATGACCTGTTTCAAAAGGTCACAGCCTCGAAGACCCTAAGGTGCTATTCTACTCTGCAATGCATGAGGTCATCATGAACTGCAATTGACTTGACGGCAACTGGTTTGTTTTACACTTAGATTAAGCTGAATCACCAGAAAGTAACAAACTTAGATCACATTATTCCTCTTACATGCACACTATTTTAATGCAAACTATCTTTATTAAATCCAGATTTAATATCATAATTCCTACTTTTGTAGGCATGAAAATCGTGTGATCCAAAGTATATGCTCCCCTTGGGGATATGACAGACAGCAGCAGGCTCAAAGTTAATTTTGGTACTCTAGTAACTAATTCATCTGGGTTTGAAAATATATCTGTTTCTCTTAAATAGCTTTTGAAAAATTACTTTATTTTATATTGTACTTAATTCATTACATTATCTCAAATTCTACTAAACTGTAGATAGAATATGTAAACCAAATGCAGGCAATAATGCAAACTCACCACTCAGACCCCAGAAGTCAGAGTTACTAGCAAAAGGGCTTCTTGTGACTACAGAAGAATCTAGTAGCCCAGTGTTGTACCTCCATAAGAAAGTGCCCTAAGCTTTAAGGGCCATAATTGTGGGTGGCATATATAGTGGCTCCGTTCTTTGACAGGAAAAAAGGGTCTCTGCAGTTGCAATGGGCAGGAATGTGGCAAGTTATAATGGAACTCCAAGTTAAAAAAACAAGAAACTTGAGTGCACAGAGTTTCACAAAAGGCAGAATATTAAGATTTGGGAACGAGCAAGAAAGAAACACATATGCAATAATCTATCATGGGCTAGTGAGGCTTTACAGAAAAAAAAATTCAAATGTTTAGAGAGAATCTGTCATCCTAGTTAACTAGCTAGCCAATTCAGACAGAAAAATTGAAACAGCACACATTTATAGCTTGAATGAAATATATAATAAATACACCTTGCTTCTGGTTTCAGTGAGAGTACCTACCAGAGTTGTATTATATGTGAAAACATAAATTGACAACAAATAAATGGCTTGTTACATGGATCTACAGATTATGCTGACAATCCATTTCTCACCTTTACTCCAGCTAGCATCCCAGTTGTGGATACACTAAAATCAAGATAAGCTAGTGTATCTGGGTTAGAAGGCTTGTAGATCTGGGCAGGCCGCTTCTTTGGCAAATCATCTGGAGATTAAAACAAAGCTGTTACTATATCTGACCTAATTAAAAAAAAAATATAGCAACAAGCAAACATTGCCATGGAGTCAGACCCAACTCATAGTGACCCCTCCTTGGGTTTCCAAGGCAGTATCACTATGGAAGTAGATTGCCTAACCTTCCTTCGAAGGAGTGGCTGGTGGGTTTGAAGTGCCAGCCTGCTGGTTAGCAGTCAAATGCCTTAGGCACTATGCTACCGGAGCTCCCCCCAAAAATATATAAGCAAACAAAATTCTAAGGCAAACTTACTCAGTTTCAAACCAGATCGAACTAGTTCAAATACATACCTGTGTCCAGTATGGGGGGCCATGTCCTGACATCTACAGCTGCTGCTGCCTCTCTGGACCGTAACAATTTACATATTAGTTGTGTTGTCATCAAACAGGCTGATCGACTCACCTGAGGATCAGAGAACAAAGTCCATACATAGAATTAAGTCCATATGAGAATTAAGCAGGATGAAGTGAATGAATGTAAACCACAAATGAAAATATTTACTGAACGCACATCAGGTATGCACCAAATATAGCTCTTGATAAGCAAATGAGATTATGAAGAATAGTGTTTTTTTTTTTTTTTTTCCTTTAAAAACCCAGAATTGGATACTGGAGGCATAAAATATTCAGGAATCTGATCATGAGAGAACACAGATAAAGCAAGCAGGGAATGAGACAGCTGTACATGTAATTCCTGGAAATGTCTATAGCTGAGTAGGTAGCCATACTGTTATGATCACACTCAGAAGAGGATCTACACTAACTGCTCTTACCATCAGCTCCCTCAATTTTTATTTCTTCTATATATTAGAAATGCTACATATAACCACCCATATAGTAATTATTTTTTTATCAGGAGTAACCATCTGTCATACATTGAATAGTATTCTCCTAAAATATGTGTCAGCTTAGCTGGACTATGATTCTCAACAGTTTGGCAGCCATGTAATGATGTCATTCTGCAGTTATGTAATGATGTAATCATCCCCTATGATGTGATCTGGTGTGTTCAGCCAGTCAGTTATAAGAGGACTAGTGTGGGAGCTCTGGTAGCATAGTGGCTAAGGCACTTGACTGCTCACCAGATGGCTGGCGGTTCAAACCCATCAGCCACTCCTCGGAAGGAAGGTTGGGCAATCCTACTTCTGTAGTGATACTGCCTCGGAAACCCAAGGAGGGGTCGCTATGAGTCAGGGCTGACTCGACGGCACATAACAACAACAAAGTGTGGGATGCAACACCCTTACTCAGATCACAACCCTGATCTACTCTAAGGGGAGTCCGGTAGTTAAGGTTGTGTGTCAACTTGGCTGGGCCTGGTTTGAGTGGCTGGGCAGCTGGATGTAGTTATTCCCCATGATGAGACTGGTAATCAACTCCATGGTGGAATCTACTATGAGCAGCTGAGTAGCTGCCTTATGAATGTGGTCTGCTTCCCATGTATAAGCAGCGGCTTTGGGAATGGTCTTTAGCTTATGGCACACTTGAACCCTGCATGTAGCTGTGTTGTTCAGCAGCCTGCCATGCTCTGCCAACCTTGGGATTTATAATGGACTTGAATTAATGTGCTGCCATGTGCTTTGGTAACATCAGGACTGTACCATTTTATTTTTTGACCTTGAGCTTGTTAGCCTCAGCAGCCAGTAGCTGCCTGAGTGAAGAGATTCCTCTAGCTTCAGTGGGCTGGGAGCAAGAGGTAGAGCTGAAGCCCAAGGTCAAGGGGATTTCACCCAGGCTGAAGCCTGGCACTTTGAACTTGGATTTCCAGCGTCCCAAACTGTAAGAGAATAAACTCCTATTTGTTCAAGCCATCCCATTTGTGGTATACTCTGTGTCAGAGAGGTACTAGGTAACAGGGAGTTTACCTGGGGTGTGGCCTGTATTACCTTTTATCTTGTTGTTGTTGTTGTTGTTATGTGCCGTCGAGTCGACCCCGACTCATAGCGACCCCTCCTTGGGTTTCCGAGGCAGTATCACTACGGAAGTAGGATTGCCCAACCTTCCTTCCGAGGAGTGGCTGGTGGGTTTGAACCGCCAGCCTTCTGGTTAGCAGTCAAGTGCTTTAGCCACTATGCTACCAGAGCTCCCTTTTATCTTACAAGAGACAAAAGGAGAGGCGAGCAGAGAAGAGGGAACTTGGTACCACCAAGAAAGAAGATCTGGGAGCAGAGCACATTCTTTGGACTCAAAGTCTCTGAACAAAGAAGCTCCTAGACCCAAGGGAAGAGCAAGACACCTGGAGATGGGCCAACAGATGCTGGGCCAACAGATGCTGAAAGGAGACAAGGATATTCCCACAGAGCCAATAAAGGGAGAAGGTCTTTCCCTAGAGTTAGCACTCTGAAATTGGACTTCTAGCCTCTTAAACTGTGAGAGAATAAATTTCTGTTTGTTAAAGCCATCCACTTGTTGTATTTCTATTATAGCAGCACTAGAAACTAAGATATCATCTTCATGAAAATACTACCAACATAACTATGTAATGTATTCATTCAATTTTGGGACAGAACATTGGTATTTCTATTCCCAAATCATTTTGTCCCTATGGTTCTCCTCTAAGGGTGTGGGGTAGAGAAGAAAATCCTCTTGAACTTCCACATAAGTAAAAACAAAACAACAATATAAAAACAAACCTCCAGTTTCAAAGAAAAGAACAGGAAACTCCCAAAAAGGTAAGGAAAAACTTTTAAAAGTGAATTACATCTTCAGTTGGGTTGGTTAGCTCAGCTGGGATTGGTCCAGTAGCTCACAGTAATATTAGTAATGCCCTCTCTAAGTCACTTCTTTATCTAGGGGACCTTACATTTCAAACCACTGCTGAGTTGTCATATCTCTTGGCCTTTAATTCTACATAGAAATTTAAATCTTGCTTAATAGAATTAGAATATAAGCTCTTTGAAGACAGAGACCATATCATGTTGTACTGTTGCACCTCCAGACATACATACCATACATACTCCTGTAACCCAACCAGCACAACCCATCACCCCTTGCTGAAAGATTTCATAGTGTATGTCCACTAAGGTGAACAAGGTATAATTGATCTGAAAGCTCAGACTCAGATCCACGGACCGATGGAACTGACAAAACATTTCCAGATCGTTGTTACCTCCACAATCATCTTTACAGTAGGCAATGTTGTTGCAATGTTCTGTGGATGTGGAGGGCGGACTGTTATTGGCACACAGCCTGCATACAGGCACCCATAAAATGCTGCAATCAGGTCAATTCCTACACAAGGGAAGAAACAAAAGGTTTCACTTGAAACAGATCAAACCATTTAATGGCAATCATCCCTGTCAGCATTAACACTACTGTGGACTAAATTAGAAGGTTAAGTGAGCAACTAAATAGACTCCTCTAATAGACTCCTTTTTCAGTCCCTGTGGGCTTTTGTTAAGTTTCACCGATCACTTTTAATTGGCTTGTTCTTTTAGGCATGAGATATCAGAGATGCCCAGAAGTTTAATTTCTATATCATTTCTCTAAGGAATTATTCGATTTCATGATCATCAATTTAGTAAAGATTTAACCACTATTAATTAAATGAACTGGCTCAGTTGTCTAATAAAACAATTTTGGGTACAAAATCTTTATAAAATACTACTTTACTTAAGCTTCTAAAATATATAGTATATTCCCATATGTGGTAGTAACTAGACACAAACAAATCCAGTTAGAATTAAACAGAATACAATGTAAATCTGCTGTGATAATGTGACGACTCTATTCACCAAGCACCACTGTGCAAAAAAGTGCCTCTTCATCTTCTTGCTCGGATTCCCATCTCTCTGCGGTTAAACATAAGCCATGTTTCTTTACCTGGTGGGTAGACTAAAGCAACGTGATCTCCATCTTGCAAGTGCCCTCTTTCCATCAGCATCACAGCTATCTTCTCTGCTCGTTTATGAAGCTGCACACAAGTCAATGAGTTCGCTATAGTACCCTGAATATTAGAGGGACAAGTGGTTCAGTAAGAATTTTTTTTTTTCAATGACATGTTTATTGAGATATAATTCACATATCATATATTTTATTTATTTAAAATGTATATAATTCAATGGTTTTTACTATATTCACAGAATTGTGCAAACATCACCACAATTTTAGAAAATTTTCACCATGCCTACCCAAAAATCTCATGCCTATTAGCGTCCCTGGGTGGTGAAGATAGTTAAGTGCTTGACTACTAACCAAAAAGTTGGTTGTTCAAACAATCTGCTTCTAAAAGGACACAGCTTTGAAAATCCTAATGAGCATTTCTACTCTGTACACATACAGGGTCGTCATGAGTTGTAAATGTCTTGATGGCAACTACCAACAACAGTAATTAGCTATCACTTCCCTTCTGTCCCACTAAGAAAGAATTTAAGGTTTCTCTGATTAATAAATTGTTTCCTTCTTCTCTGAGGTTCAGTGTGTGTTTATGAGATAAATGTTGATCTGGTTAGGATACACTGAACCATTCGAAAGCACAGCACTACTACCTAGGTATAGTTGGGATGATAAGAAAACATTTTTTTTGGTTGTTTAATTTTATTATTCAATAAATAATTACCTGAACTAAAACAAACAAACAAACAAAAAAAAAAAACAGAGCTTAAATTATATCTCAAGTGATGATTCCAAGTGATTTTGAGACTTAAAATGTAGTCCCTACAGACAATAAGAATCAGTAGTAAAGTTATAGGACTCATACTTTAATAAATAAGACTCATTAAAATTTTTTTAAGAAGACCATTTCAAAAGTCAAGAAAGTAAGAAAAAACCCAAGACAAATAAATAAAAAACAACAAGAAGGAAAAAAAAAATAAAGCTAATCGTCAAACTCAATTATGTGCAGGTTTTTCTTATACCTAAAAAGAAATGGAAAACACATTTGGATTGAAACATATCTTAAAAAATAGTTGCTAGGGAAGATCAGTAGTAAAATAAGTACCATGCAATATAAAATAGTATGTAATTCACTGTTTTTGAAATGCAAAGAAAACTATGACTACAATGCAAATGATAAACTTAAAAAAGTTTTTCCTGAGGATATACTTCACAATTACCATTCATTTGCATGAATATCCTGGTATAATAAAGTAACTCTCTGTAGCTATTTAAAAACTATTTAGACTCCAGAAGCTGAAAAATGATCACGAATAATTTGGGCTAAATAATTTTTATTTAAGTAGGTGGTTAAAGAAAGGATGAGTTAGTATAATATAACAGGAAGAACAGCTGGCTAGCAGAGAATCAAGGATTTGACACAATCACAGGTAGGTGCTCAGAACCCTAGTGTTATGTGTGGAAAATGACTTCCAAATGTAAAGTGCTGTATGAAGTCAATCTTATGGAATAAAGAAAACATTTCATGGATAAAAGTGACTAGAGCCATTGGGGTTATTAAGGACAATGGGATTTAGTGACATGGTCATGTGTGGGAGGGAATACTTTAGAATTCCCATCTGACATGATACATGGGGTGGGGGGAACCTGGTAGGCATCTAAAAGAACACTTTATAATGTGTGAAAATACAAATACCAGCACCTGATTTTACCAAAAATAATTCACAAAACAAACTGATTATTATATCTAGTCTGGGAAGCAAACAGATTTTCTTTGATGGACTATAAATAGAGAATCAAATCTCCTGAGGACCGTATGATGCAAGAGTTATGAACTTGTTAGAGATCTCCCAACTAATTGCCAAGGAAGGTCTTCAGACACCTACTCTACCCTTCCTTCAATGCTGTGATTCAGTTTCTTGCATGGAGGAGACGTTTAGCTTGTATTTCTATGCCCTGAATCTTCTCATCAAATACCTTATTTCATTAGTTACTTTTCCTTTCAGATAATATTAAAAAAAGAAAAGAAAAGAAAATAGAAACAGATATACACCCATCCCTCATTTACTGACATTGTTAGATTCTAAAGTTTAGGTTGTTATGCAGAAATGGAGGATGAGCACATGAGATCACAAAAGGAAGATTCCTACATCATTACATAACTGCCAAATTACATCATTACATAATTGCCAAATTACTGAGAAACATGGCCCAGTCCAGATGATACATAACTTCGACTATGAAAGCCAGCATTACTTTCATCTCACACCTCAGTGTACACTGCTGCCAGATGTATGTCATTAATGCATAAATATTTAGATAGTAAATATTTTATTATTGTCATAAATGTGCAATGTTGGATAGCAAGATTGTAGATAAGTGAGGAACAGGTGTATAGAGTGGAAGAGCAAGAGAACAGGATGTGACAATGAGAAGGTAAAAGAAAAATCTATTATAAGAGTCAAAGAAGTTAAAATCCAAGTGCTCTTCAAAATCAAACCACTCCTATGTGCATTCACTCAATGAAATCACACCTATTTATATCAATCAAAATAAACAAACTATTGGACTCAAATGTACTTTGAGCTTTTCAAAGTGAAGATATGGCAAGGATCCACAGCAAAGCTGACTGTGAGGCCAAGGTATCAATTCCATCCCCACAATGATAATGAGGGGGACCGCATTCATGACCACACTTGATATCTGGAGTGACAAGTTAGCTGTTTTGAGTATGATAGACTTTTTAATACAGAAAACTAGCACACAACTCATCCTTACTGAAGAAAAGGGATTATGTCTCATTACTGGATGATGGCATAGCACAAAGGAGAATGTAGCAAGTATTGGTTTATCTTTCTCTTCCCACTGAGGAAGCTCTTCCTATTACCAAAGATTCTTTCACTCATGCTGTTGCCCCGTACTACAATATGCCTTCCTTCACATAATGCTATCTGAAATAACATTTATTCTCCTTCTGGTTTGTTCAACTTCTGGAACACATCCGCCACCTCCCTCCCCCCGACACCCTCCCAATCTTCTTAACAGGTGAAGCTAATCCTCTATCAATAACCAGCTTTTCTGTCAGGTGACAATCCCTATTCTAAAGACAAAATATTTCCTTTTCTGGGGTCATGAGATTTGAGAGGCTTGGATGACTCACACCTAGTAGTCAAGAGTATATTTCAAAATACTTTTACACTCCGGGTCATGAAAATTCCCACTTGCAGGTACTTCAAATTGTGAAGTTTAATTTGTATGCAACTTTCTGAGAGATACTTTTCACAATACTGTTTGTAATTTTGAGTGAGTAATCCAATAACAAACAGGAAATCCTCTAGTCACACTCTGGAACACTGGTGTGGAGGAGTGGCACCTGGGTGGGAGTTAGATTTTCTTGTCAGCATACAGGGTGATTTACGGTTAATAAAAATTGCCTGCAAAACTCCCTTGAGAAGGTGCTACGTGGGAATGAGGCATCCTATTTTATATCAAGTCTGCCAGAATTAAGTTTTCCTTCACAAATGAGAATGGAAGCTGTGTCATTGCCTGGCCACTAGATGCAGTGATTGTTGTGTTCAAACGTGATAAATGGTTTCTGTTTAAACACTAGATTTACTCTCAGTCAGGCAAGGTACTCACACTAGGAAAGCATGTGGGAATGAGATTCACTGCAGGAATGAGATTCACCAAATAAAATGTAGATCCAGGTTTCTTATCTTATCCCTACCCAGGACATTGGGGTATCTACTGATAAGCGGTTTGGCAGGTCCAAATACCCACACTATCTTAATAACATTTTCCTTTCTTTTCCTCGGCCTGCAAGGTCAAATTGGCATATGGTAAAACTACACTTGACATGACTGTACCATATAGTAAGTCTATAATGTGACACATATCACATCAGACTTCTACGGCACTGTTTATTACCACTTGTTCTTTGGCAATCCTAATATAACCTTTTACCTCAAGAGAAACATCACTGATTTTCAGTTACACATTTCATTTTCCAATGTACTAGTTGTTAAGAAATACAGAAGAAACGTTATAGATGAATGGTTCTCAGGTCAATAGCTTCATTATAGCTTTCTACACAGAAGCTCACGTGCTTAAGAAGTTATAGTAAAACTGTTTCACTAGGGCTGACCTTTATTAAAAGTAGCCTTCGGAGGTATTTTGACAGAATGGTAATTATGGTAACCCATTCACCAAATCCCTATTCTACCAAACAACTCACTGCCTCCGAGTCAAATTTGACCCACAGCGACCCCTCCTTGGGTTTCTGAGGCAGTATCTCTACAGCAGTAGCCGAGTCTTCCTTCTGAGGAGTGTTTGGTAGGTTTGAACCACCAGCCTTCTGGTTGTTGTTGTTGTTGTTATGTGCCGTCGAGTCAGCCCCGACTCATAGCGA